CGCTATCGCCCGAGCGCGCGCATGTACAGCGGCGCCCGCAAACTAGACTAATCTAGCGGATGGAGCTTGTTTTTTCTGGAGGATGAAAAAGAAATTCCCGTGGCGAAAATATATATAAAAATATTTTATTACGCACATGAGATAGGATAACTTATTCGAATAACGTTAGCTTAAGTATCTCAAAGATCTTGAAGTTTGTGCTGTTGACTGTGAATCGGGACATTCACGCAATTAACGTGTTGTAAGTGCATTTCGCAACGACAGCATTGTATTCAAAGCTTTCTGTCGCTTCATGTGCATTTGGCCAAGCCAAACGGCGGCGATTGCACTCAAAAATAACCATCACTCATGAAGCGCGCTGATTGGCTCAAAATTTGGTCACCACAATGTCGAGGTCGAAGTAACCCACAATACTGTAGGATTGGATGCATGGCATATTTGGGTGGAGCAATAAAGGTTCGTCATTGGCCAGTAGTCTATGGTTACATCCGAATACATGATGAGATTGAACTATTGAGAATTATCCTGTGATATTCGGAATAGATTATTTACTTTGCCGATATGGTTACGTTATCTATTTTTTCTGACGTTGGGAAACAAAACTTATCTATTTTGGTTGTGGTGCAAAATAATCTATTTTTCATTGGAATATAAAAAATATATTAAATAAATAGATTCTTGTTTGACAATCCCTCGTACAAACATGAAGGGACTCACGCGGACATGCAGTGAAATGTTCCCCGACCAGGCAACAAGCACACACGTTATTCATTGTTATTGTAATGTTATCGAACCGATTTTATGATGCTTATGACTCGACAGCATGGACACTCGCGTGACTTCCAGCAGCAGCGCCGCCGGGAACTCGCCCAGCTCTTCAAAGCCTTTCGTCGACACCACTTGGTGAAATGAGCTTGCAGGAAGCACATGCACGTGGTCTTCAACGTGTCCACCTATACAACGGTACTGTAGGGTCAACCACCTTCGCCAGCAAGTAGTACTCACTTGGAAATGGGTGGCGGCAATCAACACGTGGCACACAGTCTCGGTATCGAGTTTGTAGGCGAGAAAGTTGTCGCACAACGTCGACAGATCCTACTTGCAGCCATCAGCACCAACAACGAATCATCATTATGGACGACGGCTTGGCTTCAATGGAGTTGCTACTGTATGTACCTGCAATGCATAGTGATCGGCCACGCCCAACAGCTCCAGGGCGGTGTCCACAGTCAAGACTTGAATGCATCCCGTGTACAAGAACTCCTGGCATCCATCCATGTCATGAGTGCAATATCAGGCGAACCGTATTCATGATTGTCATTTCGAATATACATTCTTATCAATTCGATTCGAATATAAAGTAGTGGGGGGCAGAACCAAATATCGACAGACCATCGGCCGACCAATCAAAAACCAGAACATTTCTTTCAAGTGGCCAATCAAACACGTGCAAACGTATGCATTCAAAGAGTGTAATTCATTTCACACCAAAATGTTCACAGTAAAATCGACCGATACATATCTTGAAGCAGCAAAAACATCTAAATATTGACTGCAAGCCCAGCAATACCAGCATGTGAAAGAACGCCCGATGGGTCCACTCCGAGATGACCACCGTCGGATGATGCGATTCCTTCATGCCGCTGGAGAACATGCAACGAAAATGGACCGATTGTGCAGCCACAATGGCCTTGTGGGCCACAATCGGCTTGTCTTGCACCTGTCAACCACCCGTGAGACTCGATATTATAACGATAGAGAGGCTATCACCAGAAACGTAATGTCACTATACGTGGCGTCCTGGTGGAGCAGCAACTCTCGGTACTGCGACACCAGCTGACGCTGCGTCGTCATCGTGATCGCATGCTCTTCAATGCGGCAAATGTCCAGCACGTGCGTGTCATCGAGCCACTTGAACCCATCAAACCCGCCCACGATGTACATCTACTTCAACTTGAGCCGAAACATCAGTGGTGACGCCACGTCATAGCCAACCTTTGAATGCACCAAGCATGCGCTATGGCGCTGCCGTCCCGACGGCGCGTCTACATGGACCGAGTCTGGCGGACGTTCCCATTTCATGTCCTCTACACAGTATGTCCGATGCCGCGTCCGTCCACTCAAATTGACGAAAGAACAAGCCA